ACAAGTGAAATATCCACTAAAGCAAAGCTTAAGTATATAACACCAACAATATCCTCTCCCGAATGCACCAGCCGCAATCTCATCTCGCTCTCTCGCTTTCAGCAAGCCGTTATTCCATGATTTGAAAGTCGGTAGTGATCTCTCTACGGTTCTAATCGATAACACGACCTTATCGACATAAAACAACTGCACAAACAAAAGAACACAATAAATACAAATAAATAACTGAATAAATAAAAAAATTGGAAAATACTCAAGTACGCAAAGTATACGTCATCAAGTATCGAATGCACATACAGTCAAAAATAGCAACGGTCCGGTGAAAATCTTGCGCTTCTGACTAGCATTCCATGATTTTTTAGCACCCACCAGACACCGAATCAGGTACGCACACCAATTCATCTTGTTCACGTTCGACAAATCGTCAAGCAAGTGAACTGTGCGTAAATTCGCAACTCCATTCTGAGAGCTCTCGAACAAACACGTAATCATGAGAACCACAAAATGACGTTTGAACCAGTCGTCGCTTCTATCACAAGTCTGAATCATCTCCAACACCTTTGTAGCCGTTATTTTGGTGGCAACACTAACATTATAAATATCGGCCCATTCTTTCAACACTCCCGACTCTGTCTTTTTCTTTCGATTCGCGACCTCAATAGTTCCACGGGGCAGCCCCATCACACTATACACATCATTTTCCTTCACATGAATTTTTCCTCCATCATACAATTGCAGTTTCCGGTCCATATGGTTGAAGTTATCAACCAGCCAATATCCCATTTTCGCCGGGGTTGCTGTTATCTTCAAATCGAGCAAGCATCCAAATCCCATATCACGGACTGCACGTTTCTGGTCCTCAGACAAACCGGACACCGCCTTCACGAATATCGCTGGGGATGTCCTCGTGTGGATGGTCGGGAGTGCATCATCGGTTGCTGCCCGGGTATCTTCCAATGTGTGCGTACCATCTGTTTCGTTAACAATCCCCTGCACTCTTACATTACCTGTAAGTTATATAAACTTTTTTTTTACAATCTAGTGTTGTGTAATGAAAACAAACATAGTGCTCATGAGACGTAGAACTTTATACCGTCTCTCATTGTCGTTTCTTGACAATGTTCTGTTTGAGTTTGATTGCTGTCCTCGCGTTCTGGCTGTCTGGCCATTTTTGCACGTTTCACATGTCCCTCTGCCCGATTCGATGCAACAACCTTACGCTTGCGTGCTGCGATTTATCAAACATTATACGAGTATATTATGTACAGTTTGTGCTAGCAGGTATTTAAATTTTTTTAAACTTTCAATGCTCGTGTATATTAACATAAGACACGTATAGAAAACATATATAAAATAACATAACACTATTAGAAAATTAACACAATGACCTTTATCACCCGATTTTCCAATTGGCTGATCATTTGAATTGTTGTTGTTACCTGCACGATGCATATATTAGAATAATTAATTACGCCATAAGCAATAACCAATCTACAGTCTGCCAACTAAAATGGGACATTCTCAGATAAGAAAACATATAAACAAGAAAGAATTAATATATTAATGCCAAAGATTAAAGTGATGCATGTGAAAGTGACACACGAGTAAATCGAATCCCGGTCAGTCGCGTAGATGTAAATAGCCACATATTGTATTCACATGACATTTAGTCATATAGGTATTTCATAAATAGTTACCTTGTTGTGGGTTACTGGACCGTGAGTTCGTAGCGGGTTGTTGTACTGAAGGGAGTTTTGTGCTACGTCGGGTGGCAGGCCGGTTTGGTGTAATATCTAATTTGGGCACATCATCGACAAGATGGTCGTTATCAGGTCGGTCGCTATCACGTTCCGGTGCATCGGGAGTTCTCTCCAGCACTAATTATGTACAACACACAATGGTCGAGAATTCACGTATAAAAGCAAAGAACATTAATAAACCGATAGTTTATTCAAGTAAAACAAACTGACTAAAAGATGATAAGACCAGCTTAATCAAATATTACAAATAGTACAGCATGAATTCAAATAAAAGATGCTTAATCATACTGATAATATATATTCACTACAAGATGTAAATTACACTAAACTAAACACAACATACGGCACATCATAGGATTTACCTCTGTCATCATCGCGTGGACCTCTGTCGTCGTGATGTTCAGGTATAATGTCGAGCTTCTTGCAGGTAGTACCTGTACATAAATTCAAATCAGAACATAATACCCACACTTATTGGAACTACTGAACAAATCAAGATGTAATATGAAAGGGAAACAAAAAAAAAAAAAAAAAAA